TTCTAAAAAAAAAAAAAAAAAAAAAAAATACAAAAAATTACTGAGGTGTGGTTGTGAGCACCTGTGATCCCAGCTACTCCGGAGGCTGAGGCAGAGAATTGCTTGAGCCTAGGAGGCACAGGTTGCAGTGAGCTGAGACTGCGCCACTGCACTCCAGCCTGGGGGACAGAATGAGACCTTGTCTCAAAAAATAAAAAAGTAAATTGCCAGTCACACATGATGGCTCATGCCTGTAATGCCAGCACACTGGATGAACAACATGAGAGGATTACCTGAGGTCAGGAGTTTAAGACAAGCCTGACCGACATGGTGAAACCCTATCTCTACAAAAAATACAAAACATTAGCAGATAGGGTGACAAGTACCTGTAATCCTACCTAGTTGGGAGGCTGAGGCAGGAGAATTGCTTGAACTGTGGAGGCAGAGATTACAGTGAGCCTCGATCATGCCACTGTACTCCTGCCTAGGTAACAGAGTGAGACTCTGTCACATACACACACACACACAAATGTTAATTGCCAACTACTGGTTTTTTTAAAAAAAAAAAAAAAAAAAAAAAAAAAAGAAAGAAAAGAAATATTGGCACATACATCTTTGTTTCTGGTTTTTAGGGACTTTTTTAGACACTCAATGCCTCCCATGACATGAAGAGAATGATACAATTTTCAAAAGCAATCATAAAAAGTATATAAAGCAATTTAAAAAATTGCGAATAAATGGAACAGCCCAGGCTTGGTGGCTCATTCCTGTAATCCCAACACACTGGGAGGCCAAGGTGGAAAAATCACATGCGGTCAGGAGTTTGATACCAGCCTGGCCAACATGGTGAAACCCTGTATCTACTAATAATACAAAAATTAGCTGGGTGTAGTGGCATGTGGCTGTAATCCCAGCTATTTGGGAGGCTGAAACATCTGAATTGCTTGAACCCGGGACAGGAAGGCTGTAGTGAGTGGAGATTGTACCACTGCACATCAGTCTGGGTAACAGAGCAAGACCGTCTCAAAAATAAAATAAAATAAAATAAAATAGGCTAGGAACTGTGGGTCCTGCTTGTAATCCCAGCACTTTGGGAGACCAAGGCGGGTGGATCATTTCAGGTCAGCAGTTCAAGATCAGCTAGCCAACAATGAAATCCCGTCTCTACCAAAAAGTACAAAAATAGTAGCCAGGGGTAGTGGCAGGCACCTATAATCCCAGCTACTCAAGAGGCTGAGGGAGGAGAATCACTTAAACCAGGAGGCAGAGGTTGCAGTGAGCTGAGATTGCACCACTGCACTCCAGGCAGGGCGACAGAAAAAATCTCCATCTCAGATACAAAAATAAATAAATAAATAGTGGATATAAAAAAATAACAGAAAATATTCTTTTTTTTTTTTTTTTTGAGACGGAGTTTCGCTCTCGTTACCCCGGCTGGAGTGCAATGGTGCGATCTCGGCTCACCGCACGCAACCTCCGCCTCCTGGGTTCAGGCAATTCTCCTGCCTCAGCCTCCTGAGTAGCTGGGACTACAGGCACGCGCCACCATGCCCAGCTAATTTTTTGTAGTTTTAGTAGAGACGGGGTTTCACCATGTTGACCAGGATGGTCTTGATCTCTTGACCTTGTGATCCACCCACCTCGGCCTCCCAAAGTGCTGGGATTACAGGCTTGAGCCACCGCGCCCGGCCAACAGAAAATATTCTTAAAAGAAAAATGGTGCCAGGCGTCGTGGCTCACACCTGTAATCCCAGCATTTTAGGAGGCCGAGGTGGGGAGATCACAAAGTCAAAGGATCAAGACCATGCTGGGCAACATGGTGAAACCCTCTCTCTACTAAAAATACAAAAATTATCTGGGTATGGTGGCGGACGCCTGTAGTCCCAGCTACCCAGGAGGCTGAGGCTAGAGAATTGCTTTAACTCAGGAGGTGGAGGTTGTAGTGAGCTGAGATCATGCCACTGCACTTCACCCTGGGTGACAAAGTGAGACGCCATTTGAAAAAACACATAAAGTTACTAATTTGTAGAGAAATTAAAAAAAAAAAAAAAAACCACAATTACAAACAAAATCACCTCACACCCAGTAGAATGGCCACTACAAATCTTTTTAAAAACACCAAAGACGATACAATAAAAATGGAACTCGCCAGGCGCGGTGGGCTCACGCCTGTAATCCCAGCACTTTGGGAGACCGAGGCGGGTGGATCACACCGTCTCTACTAAAAATACAAAAAATCAGCTAGGCATGGCGGCGCATGCCTGTAATCCCAGCTACTCAGGAGGCTGAGGCAGGAGAATTGCCTGAACCCAGGAGGCGGAGGTTGCGGTGAGCCAAAATCACGCCATTGCACTCCAGCCTGGCTAAGAAGAGCGAAACTCCATCTCAAAAAAAAAAAAAGGAACTCATGATGCGGACTGCTGGTGGAAAACATAGATACAGTCATTATTTTAAAATGTTCTTCATTTGTATATGTATATATCCAAAATATGTAACACAGGCCAGTGGAGTGACTCAAGCCTGTAATCCTAGATATTGGGAAGGCCAAGGTGGGCAGATCACCTGAGGTCAGGGGCTTGAGACCAACCTGGCCAACATAATGAAACCCCGTCTCTACGAAAAATACAGAAAGTTAGCTTGGTGTGGTGGAGGGAGCCTGTAATCCCAGCTACCTGGGAGGCTGAAGCAGGAGACTCGCTTGAACCCAGGAAACAGATGCTGCAGTGAGCTGAGATGGCACCACTGGACTCCAGCCTGGGTGACAAAGGGAGACTCCATCTCAAAAAACAAAAACAAAATGGTCCTGGAAGACATATTTGGAAATACATGTTTATTGTTATCAGTATTCACAAAAGCCAAAAAGGCTGAAGCAACCCATATGTCTCTTGATTTATAAAGATATCAAAAAATATCACATATATGTACAATGAAATATTGTTCTACCTTTAAAATAAAACTCTTGTTACATTGTAGGATGAAAATTGAGAATATTATGTCACCTGAATTAATCCAGTAGCAAAATTATGGATACTGTATGATTCCACCTATATGAGATATCTTAAGTAGCCAAAATTATAAAAACAGAAGGTGGAAGGTTTGTCTCTCACGGGCTGGAGAGAGGGTAAAATGAGCAGTTGTCACTTAATGGGTATTGAGTTTTAGTTTTACAAGATGTAAAGTTTCCAGAAGCCTTTTGCATAACAATTTGAATATACTTAACATGCATGAAATGAACAGTTTTTTTTTTCTTTTTGAAACAGGGCCGGGGCCAGGCGCGGTGGCTCACGCCTGTAATCCCAGCACTTTGGGAGGCCGAGGCAGGTGGATCACGAGGTCAAGAGATCTAGACCATCCTGGTCAACATGGTGAAACCCCGTCTCTACTAAAAAATACAAAAAAAATCAGCTGGGCATGG